GCATTAAACTTTGTTGAAAAAAAAACGTGTCAAAAAAAAAAAAAAAAAAAAAAATCAAACAGAGACAGGAGCAGAAATCACCTGGCACTTAACCCTATGAAATGGCTGTATATCTAGGCTGACAATCAAAATGTTAAAACACACCCACTAGTCTATAAAAATAATTGCAACAACTGTAATAATAATTATTACAAACTACTACGAACTTTTATGAAAATCAGTAGGGGGAGCAGCTGAAAATAACGGACATTAACGAATGTTTTTGGAAAGTTGTAATACATAGACTTACAACATTACTACAACTGTAACTAAAACTAAAATAGATAACTAATACAAATCAAACTACATTAGTTTATCAGTAATCCTAAAAAAATAACACTGAGCCAAACACACATGCTAAAATAACAACAACTTACTGACACATAGTAAGAAATGGTTATAAAAAAATAAATAAAACTGAAACAGAAGTGAAACAAGTAGTAAGAAAGAGGAGAAATAAAAAGCCATACTTATCTATATCTTATCTATACTTAGACTAAATGGTTATTTAGAGAAAATGCCAATTTTTAATGTTTATTTTCAAACATTCAGTGGTTACATGTACCTGAACTCTGGACTCGGGAAGGTTGATCTTCAGTGCCACCTCCTCTCTCATAAATATGTCCGGGTAACGAGTTTTGGCAAAGAGCGATTCGAGAATGTCAAGCTGTGAGCGCGTAAACGTCGTTCTTTCCCGCCTCTGCTTTCTGGGCGTTGCTGCAAATAATAATAAGAAGCAAAAATGTCATAAGAGTATTTACAATAGCAATACTACGCTTTATAGAAAGAGTGGAAATGTGTATGAAAAAATCTGTTTAGATGTGAAATAGCAAATAGCTTCTGGACATTTTAAAGTAGGCCTACTATTTTCGGAAATAAAAAATAATTGTTTTCACCTCAAAGCGGTTTTAAAATTATAGCGGTCTAATTTACAGAGGCTTTGTGGATTATCTTTTACAAACATGTTGCAACGACGATGCAATGAGCTCGTTAGGACCAATAAGTTATATTTAAACATCGAGAGAGAAAAAAATAAAATAAAATCACACAATAGGCTATGTCAAGACTAATTTTTCCCTTAACTGAAGTGCCTGAAACTATTTCTAACAACTTAAAAAAGCCCGCATATAACGCTGTGTTAAACACAGTTTATAATACACGCACCTGGGTATCCGACCGACGGGTGCAGTAGGTCCATGGCTGCGCCGCTCAGCCCCAGGCCGTTCATGGCGTAGGGGGGCTGTTTGAGGTATGACATCATGCTAGAGGCAGTCACGGGTCCCCCCAGATCTTGCCAATAGTTCGATTTCCCCCGATGTTGCAGTTTGACGAAGGACGGACCCAATTTAAGTTACTGAAATGCGAATGCAATAACACAAAAAATATTATTAGCTGATATGCGTAACCACATGAAAATATGCAAAATGCCAAGTGAATTAAATACAAATCGAGAAAAAAAGTTGGGTGGTTGCATCCTCTGAAAATCTATTAGAGACGAGGAAGTATAAATAAGTGACAAACTAATTGATTGGTTTAAAATACCTTTAAGAATTTCTCTATTAGCCTACCGTTTTCGATGATGATGATGATAATAATAATAATAATAATAATAATAATGACGACGAATCTTGTTTCTCTTTTGTAATAACAATAATAATAATAATAATAATAATAATAATAATAAAGAAGAAGAAGAAGACTGGCACAATGGTGAAAACTGCATACCATACGCGAATTAAAAGTATAAATTTATTCCTAAATATTTCTACAATTGCACGTGTCTATTTTATATTTGTAATCCTATTTCAGATACAATTCAACGTTTGAATATTCCCACTTTCTGACATTTCCTATATATAAACATATTTAAAATATTTTGCGAACATTAGCTACATTTATTTTACATTATTTTTAAAGCACCGATTTAAAATGTTAAAAACCAAAGACCAAATCTGTGCGGTTTCAAAGTACTTCTCAAAAGAATTACAAAACTTGCAGGCCTAATAAACAGTTTCCAGGGTCACTGAATTTAGCTCGGTGTTAAAATGTAATTGGAATAATCTTATTTACAGCAATGTTCAACAAAACTATTTTAAATAATTAACATCTTAGAACAGATAGCAGCCTATAGGGTAATATTGAGAGTTAGGCTACTACTAGAATAATTTATAACTAGGCTATATATTATTATTATTATTACACACACGCACACAAATAAAAAAGAAAAAAAGGTAAAGAAAATATATTAATCTTTATTAACGCTTTGTATTAGTTTTGTTGGTCATTCAATTTTTAACCAAATTTAGGAGCTGACTGGTTACCTAGGGGAAATTAACGTGGATGGGCCCCGTGCTGAGAGAACCGAATCGCTTAGAGTTCTGTGTATTCCAATCTATTCCTTGCTTATTCTTTACTCTGTAAAGACTGGTTAGAAAGAACACATCTACGTGCAAATTAACTCAATTACAATGCAGAGTAGATCTCTGGGGAAACACCTTCATTTCTTTGCCTTATCACCAAAATAAATTAACAAAAACCCAAACACGCCTCTCCAATTACTCTCCAAGTGAGCTGGTTTACACGGCGGGGATGAGTTGATCTGTGCAAAACTACTCGCTTTCGTTTCAAACATACGGTCGCTATTTTTAGATGTAATTCATTTTGAAACATTTACTTCTAAGCGATTATGACAATTAACAGACTGTTTACTAGGTGACTTAAAAACAATACTGACGTCGGTACAGAATAGGACGAAACAAAATAATAATAAAAAATAAACTTTTACACAATCCTTTCAAGAAGACCAAATTTACCTACATAGAAAAATGTTTTGCTAATATTAAAACAATAAATTTGAACACAAACTCGTATTAGTTCCGTTTTGTGAAAGTGTTGAACGTTAACAATAAAATTAGGGGGAAAAACTCTAAATTAAAATACGCATTTTTTCTTACCTTTTTTCAGAACCCTCCGTCCTTCTCTTCTGATTTTTTATTTTTTTTTGCAGTCTGAACAGACGATAAAAAATATCCACCAATGCAAGAGTTCAGGAAGGCAAACCGACCTCGGAACCTCACCAAATAAATGTCGTCTAAAACTCTCCTCAAAGCTGCAGATATGCAGCAATGTTGATATAGCGCACGTGTCTGGCCTTTAGCTGGACTTCTTGTAGTCTATTCAGAGTGTGTTCCCGGGGTTTAAAACCAAGTACATTAAACTCATCTGCTTTGGCTTTCTCGTTCGTGTCTGTCACTAGTTTAAGGTGATTGCTAATGTAGACGGATGGAGATTGATCACCTTCTCCTAACCCTGCCTCTCTAAGAGCGTAGGACACCTGCAGATCCGCCCACTCCAGCCAATCGCCGCGCAGTCTCTGCTTGATTGACAACTGTACCAGCCAGTCTATGGGTAGAACATCCGTGAAGCCCCACCCCGCGCTGACTAAAGACATCAAGAACATACACCGTACAAATAAATCTTTAGAATTTCGAGAAGACCTAAACTATAAAGAAAAGTGTAGACAATACAGATTTAACATTTCCTAAAACTGAAGAAGGAAAATATATTACAATCTGGGCTTTACATACAAAAGGCGTTTTAAAATTAAGGTAGGCTATAGAGTATGGCTTTAAAAATATTTAAACCATTTAAATGATAAATATTTTACTGAAAGACTTTAGAATTGCGATGTAGACCGAGGCATTTAATTAGGAAGTCCTGTCAAATCTAAACAAAATAGGCATATTCTCTAAACGCTTAATTACAATTATGACCGTTTTGCGTCTTGAAATTTAGCTATTTTATTTAGAGGTATAGCTTAACTCTAGAAAAAAACGGACACATTATCGCATACAAATAGTAGGCTATTAATAATTAATCTAAAGGCAAATTTTATCAACGTAGATTAAACAGTGTAATATATATATAGGACATCAAGGCCTTTCATCAAATGTCTGGTATCACGCAAAAAAACAAACAAAAAAAAACACAAATTCACAAAGTACCGTTTTGATACAGAATATGAGACTCACTTAAGCAATCGATTCATGTAGTCCATCGATTTGAAGTGGTGTAAAAATGCAGCTAAAAGTTTAATTTATCCACTTTATCTATTTTCATTTTTATTGTTACCCCGCCTCATGAATATTAATGAGTGGCTAATCCCCACTTAGAATTACATTTCAGAATAGTGTGCGTAAAGTTTAATAGGCACACGGAGAGGAAACGTGAAAGGGAGTGAAGAAAAACTCGGCCCTTCCAGAAAAGAAACGAAATCAGCACACAGAGAGTGTTCTGAGCCTTAGAGAATCAAAGAAAGCACCTTTCAAGCCTCACTTTCCCAAAGAAATGCCAATAAAATACGGTAACAGAATATCACGGAGGGCGCGGTGTTTCCTTAACTGTTTCTGAAAGACTCAGAAGATCTTAATAAGGCTTCGCTCGGTCCTTTTGTTGATCTCACAACATCAACTCATTCTAATTGAGGCCTGAGCTGAAAGCGACCTAATGTTCAAAGCAAGTGACCGCCGGAGGAACGAAATTACATTTTTACTATACGGAGCATCCAATCAAAGACCGGGCGGCTTTACACGTTCTTCTATAGATCAACAAAGTCATCGACAAACGTACTCTTGGGAGTAACAGAGATGCTGCTGTAAGCCGTCAATAGACGCGGAAAAACTAAAGGGAAAGTTATTGGATACTGCTTAGAAGTACAGTGACAGGGAATGCGCATATTAAATGTTTATACTGCCTGTTCGAAGCACAAGTGTTGGCCCCAGGCCCCCCAAAATGGCAGATTCCACCTGCCCTTAAACTGTTTCCACGGATAATAACAACAATAAAATGTGATCCTCAAAGACGCACACGATAGAAATATACAACTCCTGCATTTTGTCCGTTTGCTAGTTTATTCTCTCGGCCCTGATGTTGCTAAGACCCCGTGATAAACCCAGAACAAGTATCAAGTTATCAGGTTGCAAGAAGCTTTTGTAATAAGAGTATTTTGTCTAATCCCAAATTGCAGTCGAATTTTCTAAATGCTGAGCCGGGATTACACGGACCTCGCCACAGGTCTAATGCATAAAATTATGACATGCGTTCGAAGCGACTCGCAGGCTCAAACTCTCCGATTAGTAAAGGCAACAAACAAACGTCCTTTCTGTCGCCATGTAATGGTTTGTGAGCGCCAATAAGTGTCTACTATTCAGAAGATTACAGTCATCTGTGATAACTGCAAAATAATTAAAAAAACAAAAACAAAACGCCCGGGGGGAAACGGAGGTACACTCGGACCCAACCATCAGCAAATTAACGTGAAAGTATTAGAAGGACTAAGGGAGGACGTCAGCTGTCAAAACTTATTTTGCTCGTTAAATGGAGGATGCGAGGCTGCGGTGATGGCTGTTTGGCTGAGAATGAAGTGTCTGAGGGAAAACAGATGCTTTGGGCAGAGTGATTCTGCCTTAATCTCCCTCTGAGGAACGACCTCAAACAAAACAAAACGCATACATTCATTTAGAAATAACCGTAAAACGCAAGGGAATTTTCGCAGTCCCTCTTGAGTGCCTGTAAATTGTTTTATTAATTGAAAAAAATAAAGTCTGTAGTGTTTCGTCATAGTGCGACTCCATAAGGTTTTATTTAAAGAAACGATTGTCTGAAACGTCAGTCCAGTCAGAACTTCAGAAAAACATCATTAATTCTAAGTGATTATTAAATCAGTAGGCCAAAAATAATAAAGACAGGCAAATCTATGTAATAATGACAGGAAAAAATTGCAATTTTTCGGACAACATAAAAAAAGAACAGAACATAAACGACGTAATGAAATGTGTTAAAAAAAATTAAATTCTAGGTTCATTCAGTATCAGCTTAAAAAAATGGCACACAACATTTGCTGTAGGGACACAAGGCCAAATCCATTAGTAACCAAAACCACACGAAGTGTTTAATTCGAGTATGAAATCATTTGGATTTTATTGAACAGTGATATTTATAGTACAGTGGAATAAATAAACCGGTGATGCTCATACAATAAAGACGTGAAACTGAAATATGCAGACAAGAAAAGCCTCCCTTCTAAACTATACAATAAATATTGAAGTCCTTGAGCAAATGTACAGGATTGTGAAGATGGTTACTTTAAAAACGTCTCAAACTTTAATAAAAGCAAACAGTAATAAATTACACTGATCGTGACTGCTTCTGAAAATAACGTTTTTTTTTCAAGTTTTTTTAAGCCTCCAACAGTAAAATGAAATGTACAACATGGCCGTTTATTTTTTATATGCACTCGCAGTATTTCACTCCTCTCACTAAAGCAAGCTCTAAAATGTTTGGTAAACATATTAAACATAAAAAAACACTAAATATATTTTTAAAAGCAACAAGTCCCCCTTCTCAAATATTCTACACTTAGAAAGTTAAGTAATTAAAACATTTCAGCTCTTGTTAGAGAAGAACATGTTGATAGATTTTCTTAAAACTGAAATGTGATATGATTTTGAAACCCAATCCTATTCACAAATAAAAAAATGTCCCAGGTTAAATGCTGTACCGAAACTTTGAGTAATAATTTCCTGTAAGAAAGAGAAACACATTCGGAAGGCTGTGAATGCCTTAGTGTTCAGATTAATCTGTATTATAATGGATTTAACCATTTAGTCAAAGTTTTCGAAATTGTACAGCTTTGCATCTCCTCAAATATTAGTTCCTTAAGTACCTTGTTTGTGAAATCCAACAAACCAAACCTAATAATAATAACAATAATAAAGTTTTTGTATTTGTGTGTGAGAAATAATAAATCTCAGGTATTAATAAAACAGGATGCATCTCAGGGCATTCAGCAGTTCTTAAGCCCTTAGTGATAACAAAAAGATCTACATATGAAGATTTAAAACAACAATAATAAGGTGTATGCTGTGGTCTCTATGACACAAATACATTTCAAGATTTTGTAGTGTATATGTCATCTTGCTCCTTTTTTTGACCGTCACTGAAGAACGCACTTCTCCTCTTTCTTTGCCATCTTGCCTTTGTTCTGTTCCAGGGTTCTCTCCAGGTGCTCGTCTTCCTCCTCAGCCCTGCCGACACACACACACACACACAAGCACACGCACACACACACACACGCACACACACACACACACACACACACACACACACACACACAGGATCAAAGGTCATGGACAGGGACACAGGAGAATGCCACCTGCACCTCCACCACCTATGACCTGTACTTCAGAGTCATTTTGGCTCTTGAAATATTCACAAGGCCTCTCTGCCTGACTCCATCCCCCCCACAAAACACCTAAACACACTTGGTGGCAAAGAGAACACGGGTGACTGCAAACTTTGGCCTTTAAAACCCTCTCTGAACCACGCTATAGGGCCTGGAGGACTAATCCTGGCTCCGACAATCCCACAATGCCTTGCGGCTGGAGGACTTACTCTTTCTCCTGGGCGTCTAGGTCTCGGACCAGCGCATCACGTTTGTTGACCAGTATGACCAGCTCATCCAGCAGCAGCTGCTCTCGGCGCTTTTGCGCCTCTGTCTTCTGCCAGTCTGGAACGTGGAAAGGAAACATGGAAGAAAGTTAGAGAAAAGCTCAGACTGATCATTAATCACCTTAGAGCACCTTCCAACATAATCCAGGAAACAAGACATCCAAAAACGACAGTTCTTTCATCATTTACTCACCCTCATGTCATTCCAAATTATCAATATACGAAATTTGAAAAATATCTGTTTTTTTTGTGTGTGTCCATACAATGAAACCCATTGGGCTCCAAAGTTGTTTTAGACACCACTGACTTTCAAAATTTTGTGTTCCACAGAAGAAACAAAGTTATACGTGTTTGGAAATGATATGAGCGTGTGGAAATGATGACAGGATGTCATTTTTGGTTGAATTATCCCTTTAAAAGACATAAATGTCATCATATACTGGCTTTTAGTGAGAAAGACATCACTGTCCCGTGATAAAATATTCAGAAAATGTAGCCGTACTGTTGTGGAGTTCTTGTGAAGTTGTACCAGGTATGCAGAGCAGCCACACGGTGGAATTCAGACAGAAAGGATCTGATAACGCGAGTGAATGCAAGGACAGTATATTGAATACACCAACTGCTTTCAGACGCCTCAAAACGACTCCCAAAGAGACGCATTGACGCCATTTCTAAGACCAAATTGCAAAAAATCTGTCCATAAATACAATAGAATTCAGATTTGTACTACTTTAACACAGAGTTCCGTAATCTGGAAAAAAAAGCACTTAAAGGTTTTATTCCATATGTGGTTTTTGAAAACAAATGACAAACTGAATGTTTAATAGGTGTGTGACTATAGCGAAGGTCTCTGTGAGGTGACCCGCTCCTGTCCCACTGCCAACAACGGGTCTGAAATATCAGCCAGGCAGACGAGATCAGGCCTTACTGATACCAGTGCAGATTAGGGCCCTGCTCACAGCCAAGGGGAAGTTATCTTACCGGGCCTATTCTTCAGCCCGCTGTAAGAACAGACTGTACTAGTGTCTTTACACTGCTTTATTAGCGCTCCCTCATGCACACAGACTCCCAAAAACACGCACACAAAAATCAAATTCTCTTGTTATAGAGAGACCGAAAAAAAGAGACAAATGCACATTCAACCTTCTGAAAAGTCTATCCTTAAAATAAGTGTACTTCATTAAAAAAATTAATATTTCTGCTGCGGTTGAGTGAAATTGCAGTGTGGTGCTGAGAGCGCCGTTGGTCCCAAAAGGCCTGCTCCTTGCTCTCGTTTAACCTCTGCGCCTTTGAAGTGAAGCGCAGTGGCAAAATGAACACAGTTCCAATATTTGAAAGTTATTTGGCCTCCAGCAGCTAAATGAAAGTCTTTGGTGTTCTGACATTAGGCTTCAGAGAGGCTAATGCTAAATATTTGAGAGGATTTGTCTCAGCTTTAACGAATTTGAACAAAAGCTGCAGGAAGGAAAATGAAAAAGGGGGATGTTGTTCTTTAAAAAGCAATTTAGTGAAAAACAAACAAATATGGAGTTTAGTTTTCTGTTATGCTAGCAATGCAACACGGGCCGGTCGTTTCCTGTGCGCCCAACAGTGCTGACTGCATTTAACATCCTACAGGCCGGACTGTTTATCCTGCATCGCTCTCCATACGTTCTCTGTCTTTCACGACCCTCCTCTTTAATTCGCTCTGTCATTTCTGCTACCCCTCCGTCAAAAACGACAATGCCTACTTCACAAAGACCTGCCTGGAGGGTAGGCTACAACCAACAAAAACTTCTCCTGCATGTCCCAAAGAGGTAGAGAGAGAGAGAGAGAGAAAAAGCCCCTCGACTCTTTACCTCCTCCTCCTGTTCCCCTTCAGCATTCTCAGCCAAAAAGCCACAGATCCTCCCCTACACCTCCGGCAGAGGCCGCATGCAGCTGTCAATCAAGCGGGAGCAGCACCGCCCGCGCTGGTTCAAATCCCCATGACCCTCCTCCACAGCAAAATTTATTCAAGAGTGCAACCTGCTCGGCAGCTTCAGGAGGCACAGAGCTTCTTCTGAGAGTTCTGCTGAAAGATCACTAAACACAAACTTCACACACACGCTCTATTTGCTTTAGCGAACGGACACATGAAGCAAACTTTTGGACCGAATGGAGGGGCTTTTTTGGTTAGAACTTTTTTCGGAGGAAATAAGAGAAAATAAGTAGTGTTGGAGCAATCCAGGGAAAAATGCATGATCTTATTACAGCAGATTTGGGCGAGCGCTGGGCAGGCTGGGAGCTCCGGCGTAAGATGGAGCTGGAGAGAAGCCAGCTGGGAATGAGACAAAGACCAACATGGAAAACCATGACAAGGAGGATGACGGGACAACAGTCCCAGGATTCTTACCACGCTATTCCCAAACCACATCTCCCATCTGCTTTATCACATACAAATAAAGTGACAAAACCAAATACACAATGTCTTTGAATAAACATTTGAATCACTAATCTGCAGCTTGTTATTGTGCATGCATATGAGAGATGTAACTAATTTGGGTTTTGAGAAATGGAAAAAAAAAAAAAAAAAACTATGCAAGGTTAAAATGCTGAGGAAAAACAACCTGTAAATCATTTCAGTAAAATTTTACAGGACATTTTCCGTGATATCAACTACTGCCTACCACAGAATATTATCACTTACATTAAAGCCAAATTGTTTTTAAAAAATAATAATTAAAAAAAAAAGCGAAAAGATTCTGGTGTCATTTCTAAATGCACGAAACACAGCCGACTACACAAATACAAACCTCTATTAGGTGCGGTTATATAAAAGTGGACATTGAGAGTCAAATGCAGAAAGCGACGGCTAAATGGAAATGAACACAGATTTCAGTGAATAGTGTAGAATGAGAAAGTGTCGTCTCGCCTTATCTCCAGTTCCAGTCAACTAGCAATCTTGAAAGAGTTTGCAACATCATCAAAGCCGGCCATTTGATAGGATTCTCACACTGCACCCAATCAATCTGAGGAATACGGCAGCCCAGACATGTAACAAAGCTCAAATAGATTTACAAATGGGGTTGTAGGGGGATAAGCCCTTGCACAGGATTACATATTGATTTTAAACATATAAAAAAGCTTATCATATAAAACCGTAACAACAAAACTGGGGGACCTATGCAGAAATCCCTCGGCAAAAAGGAGCGTCCACTTTCAAATATAACGCCCCGGAGTGCACCGCATTTGAGGAAAGAAAGAAATAGGGAGAGGGGAGGGGGAAAAAAGACGAATTTGAGAGAAAGCGTGTGTGCATGGCAGGCAGATAAAAAGGGCAAAAAGGATCAATTTAGAGGCAGAGAAATAGGAGTCATGGCATATTGTGGAAGGCCTCGCCACTTTTTTTTGCCTCCCCACAGCGGAGCACAGACTGAAGGGGTTATCGTTTAGCTGACATTAACACTCACCCTGTTTGCTCTACACCTTTAACTGAATCCTTCCCGTCTTTTCAACCTGCCTTTATAATTTCTGAAATATTTCCTTTCCCTTTCTGGTGTCCACAGGCTTCAGATCTAATAGTGTGTAATGCAACAGGCAACAAGTGTACCTGAATTTAAGTCAGTGAGTAATGATATCTACAGTATTAATATTTATTTAAAAAAAGAGCAAACTGATCCAACTGACAAAGGTTGTTCCATATGGCATGCTAGTCAGGAATGGGCTAATTCAGATTTGAATAACTGGCTCCCTTTCAAAATTTGAAAGTGTGGCATCTCACAGGAAGCAAAAATGGAATCTGAATTTGAATGAAGGGAAGATTAACTTACTGAATTAAAAAAAACTGAACACATCTATCTATCTATCTATCTATCTATCTATCTAATTCAATTCTGAATTCTGTTTGCCACCTTAATTGCTGTCAACAAAACAAAACATTGAGGACACTTAGAATGGAGACATCAAATAGTTCTTGACATTTTGTTAAAAAAAGACATGTAAAATGTTCTAAATGCTACTCAAACATGACATCTATACAAGGCTTCAATATTACTCATCTCCAGGTCACAGTGACTGTAGATTCTCCTCTGCACAGCCGTGGGGTCGAGGAGAGTGAGTATTTTTCTCTATCAGCGAGAGAGTGTGTGTGTGTGTGTGCCCGTCTGAACGCCTCAGCCGCTGCACTTCCAATGTCATCAGCTGACCAAGCAAATCAGCAATTACCTGTCTGCATTGGCTGGGCGCGAAAGCCTGTCGGGGCTCCAAATAAGAAACTGATGCACGAACCTCCTCACCAGCAGCTCAGAACTATCTCTGACTCGCTTCAGAAACACCCTGACTCTGAATGCCAAGTGCTGAGCCGGGGAGCGTCACAATACAGGGAGATATGCTCTCTGCTTGGCTATTCATGTCCACTGTCAACCTCTCCGAACTAATTAGAATTGATTTATGATGGATCAGCTAGCTTATCAGGTGCAGAAAGGAATTACCATGGCTAGCCAAGGGGTGAGAGGGTCATCATCGAATTGTAAAATCAATTTGCATTGATTGTAAAAGGTTCATTTTGCGAGAGAGGACACAGTCAAAGGGATTAAACTTAACCAGACAACTTTGATACCGGCACAATAGGCTTTATTTTTTTTACTTTCCTTACCAGTCTGTATAACACACACTCCAAAAGCTTATAAACGCGAGTGCGTTCTTTGACGCCCCGAGGCACATCACAGAGATTTAATATTGACGTAGAAGTGACATCTGCACTATGGCTGTAATACCTGCGGTTTTGAGAGTAAATCATATATATTGTGTCCAATCCAAGGGTGAATTTGTAAGATCTACATTAATAAAAGAAGCTAAAAGAATTGGCAGCGCTATCAAATCAGGGCTGGGTGGGCGGAGCCACGTCTGAGGTGTCAAAGAGCAGGTTTAATTAAGCAGGAGAGGATCTTTGTCTTTCACAGAGCGCCTCTCAAATTCACCGCCAAATCCCTCTTTCAGTCCCTCTTACCTTCAATCGCCAGCATTGCCCTTAATTCTCGGTTCAGCAGCTCAAAGCGTCTCTCCAGATCGTGTTCCTTCTCCCTGGGCAAGTTGTAAAAGTTCATCAATATGTTAATTACTAAATCATTAAACACTTAAAGAAACCTTTAATAAACATTGATTCGTGAACTCGCCAACACCTTCCCTACCTCACATTAATCTACTGCAAATAAGCGATACACAAGCAGGAACAGAGGGGGCCGAGAGCGGGG